ACATTTCACTGTTTTACTCTTTGGTTCAGATGTGGATACTGTATTGTTCTTTCTTTGTGATTTTTTATGTTTAAGTTGTTTATTGCTGGTTTTTAGTTTGTTTTTTTTCTGTTAGGGAGCTGATACAGTCTCAATGGAGATGGGTTTTTAGGGGGGGTAGCAGGAGGAGAGAAGCTGCAGAGAGGCGTGTAAGACTGCAACTCTGCTCTAGCCAGCATCCAATAAACAGCCTTCCTTGCCTCCTTTTATTCTGTGAACACAAGCACCACCCATTGTAAAACCCCCCAATGGTCACAAAAGATAAGGTACTATGTGTGTGCACGTGTGTGCACGTGTAAGCACGTGTATGTATGTTAGAGTTGTGTCAGTTGCGAACGAAACGGCTCGTAGAGCCGACACTTTGACGTGAACGATGCGAGCCGGCTCGTGTTTCCCCCCCCCTTTCTCTCACCCTCTGTCTCCCACTTTTTTTCCCACTTCACTCCGCACGCGACTTGTGCTTTGCACTGGGAAGAGGGCGGAGGGATGGTAGTAATATTCTCAGTAGAACAGAGCTGGAGGGAAAGAGAGAGAAAGAGAGCCATGTGTCTTGGAATTTGTACAAGCTCTTTGGAGTTTGTACGTGCTTTGTCTCTTAGGGGCCACCGTATATATTTATTTATATATAAACATATATAAGTAAAACCACATTTTTTTTACATTAGTAATTCGTTTTGTGCATAATTTTATATTGTTGTTAATAATAAATTAATTAAAGCAACAAAACAACCTGAAGAGCCGGTTGGGAGCCGAAAGAGCCGGCTCTTTTTAGCGCTACTACTGTATGTGTCTGAACATGCATGTATGTGCAAGAATATGTGTGTGTGTGTGTGTGTGTGTGTGTGTGTGTGTGTGTGTGTGTGTGTGTGTGTCCTCCTGCCCAGAAAAGGGTAATAAAAGCAGGAAGTTTATGACACAAGAAAACAGAACCTTCAGATAGGATGTGCCTATAATAAAACACTTCAGCCTCCCCCACCAACAAACTGGCTGGAGAGATGGTCAGAAACACAGGAATGTCATTGATCATGCTGCTTGAACTAAGACTTACAAATTTAAGTAACACAGTGACAACATTTAACAATTTGACTCCAACATTGAGAACCTTTTAGAGCCTGCACTTCTTCACTTTTTTTTTTAATTTGAGGAAAGAAGTTGAATTAGTACGTTTACTAGAGTATTTTTTGTCACGGCTGGGGGCAGTCGTGTGGTGTATTGAAAAAAGGATCTGTTGGGAAGCATTTAAGTAACAAAGTGTTGCAGGTTACCTTTGTGGTGGCCATCTTGTTTTCCCAGTAAAGAGGAAGCCTGCCTCAATTGCAGCTCTTTTATAGGCCAGTCTGTATTAAGAAGGTGTGTCTTTAGAGTATTTAAAGGGAGCAGGAAATGGATTGGGGGCCATTTTGAAAAGTTGCTGTCTGCATGTGTATGATGTTGGCAAGAGATAATAAAACAATTACTTTAATTAAGATAGAGTGAAGTCTGATGTTTCCCTCACCACCCCTCACTGTGTAACAGTTGGATCCAACTAGTGATGGGCAGATGAAGCCCCATGAAGCACTGAAGCTTTTCATCCAATTGGTTCACCCCAACGCGAAGCTTCATGAAGCTTCATTTGCTCTAGCAGGACACCTACTGGACGTAAAAATAATAGCTGGCATGAATTTGAAGAGTGTGGCATTTTGCACACAGCCTGTAAATGTCAACAACAAAAGGAGTGTGTAAAACATGTATATTGTAGTGATGGCAGTATACTGTGTATATTTATAGTGGCAGTATGGGAAATGATTATTTGGAAATGCTTGAAATGGAAATGATCATTTACTGTGAGGTGAGGTGTGGTTGGGGTGTGGACAGTAGTTGTGCTTTTGTAACGTTGAGGTATGGACAGCTACACAGTCCTGCCTGTTCACATTTTATTCTGTAAAAACTAAATTTTCACTGCTTTTATGACCTTTTTAGTGGGGAGAACATAGCTAGGATTTAATGATTTAACAAATCTTTTGAATCCTTTGTCCTCCACAATGCTAAATAGCTGGGAGTCCTCAATCACCATGCTGACCAGGGGCCCGTTCTTCGTACGTCGCTTACTACATCCAAGATCAAATGACACATCCAAGACCAAATCATCGCGCTAACCATGAGCTCGCTAATCCGGTTCTCCGAACACACCTGCTGTTGACGATTAGTACAGCTGGATGAAGTAATGTGAGATCACTGGGTGTCGTAAAAGGGGCTACGCATCGATAGTAGAAACATTGATCGGCAACCCTCTGATTGGTCGGCGAAAATGTCGAAGGAGCGCGCTCGGTATTTTTCGGCAGCAGAGCAAGAACTCTTGATTGAGGGATTTCAGGAGTTTCAGAGTTTAATCAGAACGCAAGGGAACACTGCAAAGGCTGCAAAAGCAAGGAGAGAGGGCTGGCAGAAAGTTGCTGACAAATTAAACTCGTAAGTAATTTAATAATAACAATAATAATGGAGTGGATTGATATAGCGCTTTCCAAGGCACCCAAAGCGCTTTACAATGCCACTATTCAATCACTCTCACATTCACACACTGGTGGAGGCAGCTACGGTTGTAGCCACAGCTGCCCTGGGGCAGACTGACAGAAGCCAGGCTGCCATATCGCGCCATCGGCCCCTCTGGCCAACACCAGTAGGCGGTAGGGTAAATTTATTGTATTACACTATATTATCCAATATTATATTACATTATATTATGTTATATTATATCCCCTTACACATTAGAGCCACAACAGGACCCACTAGAACATGGGAACAAGTAAAAGTGGAATATAAGAATATGCTACAGAATGGTAATATTTATCACTTATATTGCTTTTCGTCTCTAGGAAAGAGACCCTGAAATAATCTGTTTGTTTGTTCATAACAGCAACCAAGAAAAGGGCAGAGCAAAAAAAAAGACAGGTGGTGGTCCTGCACCCCCTCGTCAACAAGTTGGTTAAGTAAATAATACCCTCACGGGAATATCGATATCTCTCAATGAGCACACTGTCGCGCTGAGCTAAAGGATCCTGTCTATCCCGCAATATACGCTGAATTCTGAAAACTCTCCTTATCAATCTTGCACCTTCCGCAATGGGCTGCTCGCGTATACGGACAGGACATGGCTGCGACAGGCTTCCCAAATCCACCTTCGCTTTTATAGCCGTGGTCTCTCATCTTGATTACACAAAGTAATTTGCAATTACTACTCTGAAATATGAATTACATCTGTAATAATCACATACATGTAATAGAATGTTAATAGTACATTTCCCTTTTTTAGGAAATGACCTGTATGTATCTGTGTGAAATCAATAAAAGGATCAAGTGCTGCATTATCTTTAGTTACATTGATAATATTTATTTATGGTGAAACAGTGGTGGAATATTGCTGTTGCTTTCGTATAAATGAAGCGGACATACCTGCGTGGCCGCGATCTAATCCTGTTTACATAAAGTAAACCTGCTCCCGAGCAGGTTTACGCTTACGGCTCTGTTGCTATGGCAGCAAGTCCCGGATGAGCTTCGGGGAACCGAACGATCCAAGATCACGCGAAATCGTCAACAATCAAATCCAGCTAACTTACTTAGCGAGGTACGAAGAACGGACCCCAGGTCTTCATCTATTTGAGATTGTTCTCCTGAGGAAAGACAATAAAGACAAAACACAAATATAAATATCACACACGTAACTTATAACAGTTGTATAATATTGTTATATCATTTAGTAACATTACTGCATGCTATATTATCATTGCATTTGATGGCTCACCTGGTCTTGCTCCACAATCGGTGTCCCCCTTATTCTCATGCAAAGCTCTGTAGTGCCTAAGCATGGATGAGGTGTTGTTGTTGTCATATCCCAGCTCCCTGGCACATAGCAAACACTTCACCTTGTACAAAAGTCAAGACAGCTCAACATAAATTGTATTGCACCATCAGTATCATGAAAATACATCTTCTGTAGAAATTTACATACCTTGTTGGGAGGAATAAGATCAAAATGTTCCCACACAGGGGAGGACATCCTCCTCTTCTTAGCTGGCTCCATTCTCTCCTGACTTTCCTCACTCTCATAAACCTCCAAACGGTCTCCAAACTCTCACTAACCGCAACTCTCCATCAAACACCCACATTTTTGAATGAAGTCTGAGGGGTTTATATCGCTGTCATATGTCGCGGCAAAGTTCGAACCACTTCATGAACCAGTCACGTGGTACAGCCGGGCAGCGAGGCTTCGGACGTCATCATTTTCAGCTTCTCCCATAAATGAAGCAAGCCTCGATATGCGCTTCGCGGAAACGCCCCCTCCATTACTCGACACACGCTCCGAAGCCTCGATACAGAACGTCCCATCACTAGATCCAACTGTTACACAGTGAGGGGTGGTTGGATCCAACTGTTACACAGTGAGGGGTGGTTGGATCCAACTGTTACACAGTGAGGGGTGGTTGGATCCAACTGTTACACAGTGAGGGGTGGTTGGATCCAACTGTTACACAGTGAGGGGTGGTTGGATCCAACTGTTACACAGTGAGGGGTGGTGAGGGAAACATCAGACTTCACTCTATCTTAATTAAAGTAATTGTTTTATTATCTCTTGCCAACATCATACACATGCAGACAGCAACTTTTCAAAATGGCCCCCAATCCATTTCCTGCTCCCTTTAAATACTCTAAAGACACACCTTAATACAGACTGGCCTATAAAAGAGCTGCAATTGAGGCAGACTTCCTCTTTACTGGGAAAACAAGATGGCCACCACAAAGGTAACCTGCAACACTTTGTTACTTAAATGCTTCCCAACATGATCCAAAATGCAGGTACTGGCTGGGGTGCGAGTGAGTGTTTAATTTACAGCGGTGAGAAGGTGACAAAACAGGAAGAGCAGAGCGGGGAGTAAACAAACCTAAACTGGGAAAACTAAAGAACAAAACTAAAACCAGACACTCACGGGAAGAGGAGCAAAATGCACAAAGAGAGATGGCAGAGAGACGCAGAATGAATACCAGGTAACAGCATAATGCAGACTGACATGGAACTAAACAGACCACGCAACAGAGAGCACAGGAAAACACAGGGCTTAAATACACGGGGAGTAATCAGGGAATGGGCCACAGGAGGGAGACACAGCTGGGAGCAATTAGGCTAACGAGACAGGGGAGAGGTAAAACTGAACACACTGACATGAGACATGAACTTTCAGAATAAAACAGGAAACTAACAGACACAGAGAACCAGACAGGACACTGAACTTGACAGGCAGACTCATGAGCAGACACAATAACACCATGGACAGACAGAGGGAACACAGAGAAGTGGGAGCAGGCAGGCAAAGAACAGAAACCTAACAAATGGCAAAATCACAACAGAATACACACTCGGAATGAACAAAAGCATAAGGAAACACAAAACCCTGAGTCCTCAGACTCAGGACCATGACATTTTTAAGACCAAAATGTGTAGTTCTACTTATGTGAAGCATGTGTGTATTTCTTCCACCTCTGGCTTGCATTTGCATTTTACACAGCTTCCCAAGTGTTTCAGAATTGGGCTTGTATAATAAGAGTAAAACACTAACAGAGCTTGACTGTTTTTTTTCTGTAATAAAAAACAGTTACTTTTTTGTGGTTTCACAGTGATCAAAATATTTGTTTTACTGGCTTCTCCCTTTTCATTTGTAAGTACAAAGGTAGTTACTCACCTTTCTTCAAATGTGTACCAGATAAAAGCGCTCAGCAGACACCCCAAACAGAGGAGATTGGCCATCATCGAGAGCTGTTTCCTCATGTCTCTCCAGTGGTTCACATTTCACAGCACTCAATTTCATTTCACCTTATATATTTTTCCGGGTACTTCCTGTCTGTCTGGTTTGGCTGCCTGTTGCTGCTGTTGCTCGTTTCCATGTTTGTGTGTATGAAGGGGTGTGTGTGTTAGTGATGTGTGGAGCCGGGTTTTTGTTTTCTTTCTCTCACCCTCTCTCTTGCACTTTTTTTCCGTGTCACTCCGCACGCGAGCCTTGTGCTTTGTTACACTGGCGGTAGCATAGAAACAAAGGAAAAGAGAGCCAGGGACAACAATGTCACATTAGAAAGGTATAGTAATCATCCACTAGTGATGGGATTTCCGGCTCTTTCGGCTCGGCTCACTAAAAAGAGCCGGCTCTTCCGGCTCCGAACCAGCTCTTCAGGTTGTTTTGTTGCTTTAATTAATTTATTATTAACAATAATATAAAATTATGCACAAAAGGAATTACTAATGTTAAAAAACGTGGTTTTATTTATATATGTTTATATATAAATATTTACAGTGGCCCCTCGAGACAAAGCACGTACAAACTCCAAAACACATTTCTAGCATTAACTGAACTTCCAAAACAGAGCTACCTCGCTTAAATTACACAATTGAAAGCATATGTGTATGGCTTGCACTCATATATATTCAAATAATTTAAAAAAAAGTTCATTTACCTGTTACTACCACACACCAAATCCGGTAGCCACTAGCTCAACACTGCGCCTAGCATCCTGGAGCACTTCTGTTGTGTTTTGTACGTGTTTTAGAGTTTGTACGTGCTTTGTCTCTAGGGTCCACCTTAAATATACTTTTATTTATTCACTCCACATAAAATGTAATAAATAAATCATATAATACAAAAACCAACTATTCACAGTTCAACTTTAAACTATTTAAATTTTCAACTTTTTCCTTTTAAACAAATTTAAAGTGAAACTATGCCGGCTTGTACACATACACGAGAGACACGAGAGTTCTTCTTTACTGATGTTTACTGTGCTTCTCTTAACGTACAGGTACACCGTAGAACTGGTGAATACAAATGTACAAGAAAATTATATTTCAGCATTAAAACATATTACAATATAAAATTCACAAAATATAAACAAACATACCACTTTGGCCTGCAAGTAGACAAACCGGTGTAATTGGAACTTAGGACTTATTTCTTCTTTAACATTCACACGGCTAGACCGTCACCATGAGCAGCTTCTCTGACCTTACTTCCCAAAACAGGAAGTGACCTCTGCCCTTACCTTATACCTTATACTTACAAAATTAACCGGCTATTTTCCATGTATCAAATTAACTGTACACCAACCAATCCGGTAGGCAAAAAAAGGAAAATGTTAACATGCTCAACAAAAAAATAAAACATACAAAATAAAATGCGTTAGTTACATTATCATTATCACAGGACAGCATTGTGCCATCACGCACCAGGGTGAGTTATAACAATGACAAACCCTGGTTTACTCCTAAACTCAAAAAGCTGTGGCTGGAAAAGAGAAAGGCGTTCAGAAGCGGAGACAGGGACTGCTACAGAGAGGCCAAGTACAGGTTCACTAAAGAAGTGGACATTGCTAAACATCAGCACTCTGAGAAGATGCAGCAGCAGATCTCAGAGAATGACTCGGCCTCTGTGTGGAAAGGTTTTAGGAATATCACCAACTACAAGCCTAAAACCCCCCACTCTACTGATGACTTGCTCTTAGCCAACACCCTTAACGACTTTTACTGCCGTTTTGACGAGCCATCAGGCAGCCTTCACACCTCCAACGGCCCCAACAATAGAGGCACTTTGGACACTAATTCCCCCACCTCTCCCCCCTCCATAGAGCCATCACCACCTTCAAACCGTTCACCTACAACACCCCCCTCCTCACCCCACACAAAAGAGGATTTCACACCACCTCCTCCCACCACAACTCTTCATATTCATGAAGCAGATGTGAGGAAGCAGTTTAAGAGTCTGAATGCTCGAAAAGCTCCCGGCCCAGACGGTGTGTCTCCTGCCACCCTCAGACACTGTGCAAACGAGCTGGCCCCAGTGTTTTCTGGCATTTTTAACTCCTCACTGCAGGCATGTCATGTGCCTGCCTGCTTCAAGTCCTCAACCATAATCCCTGTCCCCAAGAAACCTAGGATCACTGGACTAAATGACTACAGACCCGTGGCTCTGACATCTGTGGTCATGAAGTCATTTGAGCGCCTGGTTCTCTCCCATCTCAAGACCCTCACGGCCCCCTCCTGGACCCCCTTCAGTTTGCATACAGAGCCAACAGGTCTGTAGATGATGCCATCAACATGGCCCTACACTTCATCCTGCAGCATCTGGACTCCCCAGGAACCTATGCCAGGATCCTGTTTGTGGACTTCAGCTCTGCCTTCAACACCATCGTTCCAGACCATCTCCGAGGCAAGCTTTCCCAGATGAATGTGCCTGATCCCATCTGCCGGTGGATCACTGACTTCCTGACGGACAGGAAGCAGCATGTGAGGCTGGGAAAGAATGTCTCGGACTCTCGGACCATCAGCTCCGGCTCCCCTCAGGGCTGTGTTCTTTCTCCTCTGCTCTTCTCCCTGTACACCAACTGCTGCACCTCCACCCACCAGTCTGTCAAGCTAATCAAGTTTGCAGATGACACCACCGTTATTGGACTCATCTCGGACGGGGATGAGTCTGCCTACAGGAGGTAGGTTGAACGTCTGGTGTCCTGGTGCAGCCACAACAACCTGGTGCTGAATGCCCAGAAGACAGTGGAGATTATTGTGGACTTCAGGAAGCACACAGCCCCACTCCCCCCCCATCATCCTGACTGACACCCCCATCACCTCTGTGGACTCATTCCGCTTCCTGGGTACCACCATCACCCAGGACCTGAAGTGGGAGCCCACCATCACCTCCGTCATCAAGAAAGCCCAGCAGAGGATGTACTTCCTGAGGCAGCTGAAGAAATTCAACCTGCCAACACGGACGATGATGCAATTCTACACTGCAATCATCGAGTCCATCCTCACCTCCTCCATCACCGTGTGGTACGCTGGAGCCACTATCAGGGACAAACAGAGACTGCAGCGTGTTGTGCGCTCTGCTGAGAAGGTGATTGGCTGCAGACTCCCATCTTTGCAGGATCTGCACACCTCCAGGACACTGTGGCGTGCAGCTCGGATCTCAGCTGACCCTTCTCACCCCGGATACAGTCTGTTTGACCTGCTCCCCTCAGGCAGGAGGCTCCGGTCCATTCGCACCAGAACCTCTCACCATAAGAACACAAAACACTGCAAATCACAACACAATTAAATACAAATTAAAATATGAAAACAAAAAGAAGATGCATATTCTCTGTCATATGGGCCCGCATGAATAAACTTTCTGAATCCTTTATCATCCACAACTGAAAATAGACCTGGAAAAGCTTATTCACGCCTTTGTGATCTCTAGGCTGGACTACTGCAACTCCCTTTATTTCGGTCCTCATTCTGCCCTTCTTCATACACTGCAAACTGTTCAAAATGCGGTGGCACGCCTTCTGACCGGAACTGGGAGGTTTGCCTCTATTACCCCTGTTCTAGCTGACCTGCACTGGCTAGCCATTAAATGCCGCATCCAATTTAAAATACTGCTGCTTACTTTTAAAATTATCAACAACACAGCCCGAGCTACCTTATCGAACCCCTTAGATCGTACAATCCCGCTAGAGCACTAAGATCATCTGCTCAGTTACTCCTGGTGCAGCCAAGATCTCGGCTGAAGTCTAGAGGTGACCGTGTGTTTGCCTTGGCTGCACCAGATTTATGGAAGAACCTTCTTATTGCTATCCGCGTGTCTGATTCTATCCAATCACTTAAATCACGGTTAAAAACCTATTTATTTAACCTTGTCTTTCCTGCTCGTTAATCTCTGTATCTGATCCCTAGACTTACTCTATTTTACCGTTTATATACACTTTTTTATGGTTTTGTGCTTTTTTACTTGATATTCATTTTATGCTATTCCTGTGTATTAGTGACACTGACCTGTTAGCAAACTTGGTACTTTGCTATGGTCCTATAATATTTATAATATTTATGTCTTATTTTCTGTCTTTTATGTGAAGCACTTTGGTATGCCGTTGGTTTTTAAATGCCGGTTAATTGTTTGAAATTGTTCAGGATTGCAAAAGCCTTGCTGTGCAAGTTTCAAACAATGAGGGTGGAGCACGCAGTTGCTGAGCTCCGGTGTAACTGGCCAAGATAGGCCTAAGGGTCCGCTGTTGCTGGCTACTTCAGAAAATAGGCGCGACCCTGCTCGACTGGTACATCTGCGGGGCTTTTACCTTCTCGGGGAATTACAAAAACGCTTTTGCAATCCTGAACAATTTCAAACAATTAACCGGCTGTTAATTGTCTGTGCGACTGGTTTTAGAAGTATGACTGCAGCGTTTATTTTCTAAAGGGCTGAATGTTATTTGCGACCATGTGTCGTGTTAAAAACTACTCTGAAACCACGAAACCCCTTACAGAAGAAATTCTCGTTTGATCCGTTTGTAAATAAATCAAATGCTTGCATCGCTGCATGCTGTGACATCAGAATTACAAAATGAGTGTGATTAAAACAATTAGTTTGAAAGAGCGATACTGGCTGCTTTGGGGGAAAAGGTGACATCGTGTGCAACGTGTTTTAGAAGTAGCCCAATAGCTACAATTTATTTTCTAAAGGGGCTGAATATTATTTGCGACCGTTTACTGTGTTAAAAAACTAGCTGGCTCTGTCTCCCTCTTAGTTCAACATTCTGAAATCCCGATTTTTAAATAAAATGATCGCATCAACCCGTGAAAGAAACCCCAGTAGATGCGTAAAAACTAGTTACATTAAAACTAGTGGTTTGATTAAATGAAACGCTTGTGAACAGGCTGAAATTACCCGTACAGAAGAAATTCCCACTTGTGCCGTTTTTAAAATAAAATGCTTGCATCGCTGCATGAGGAGACACAGTGACGGTCCTAGCCTGTTTGGCGCCCTGGGCGAACACTCCCTCTGATGATTCTCATGTATCCTGAATGTTTCAGGATACATGAGCTGCCATTATCCAATGACACATCTGCTTACCTGTATCTTTTGCTCATTTCTCCTCCTCTTCTTTTCTCTTTTTTCTAAACTGAGCACCTGATGGCTTTGAACTTTTCTTGTCCATCTTCAATTGGCTTCAATTTTGCACTCCAGTATGAACACCCATCCCCCAACTCGAGGATCACCACAACATAACCTAATAAACCTACGCCTTATTTCACAGATTTGCTTTGTCTAGAGTTTATTTCTGGGATTTCACACAACCCGGGATTCAAATCATGAATCCATAATGGACTTGGATTTACAATATTATGAATGAAATGTGCTGTATTTGGAAGCAGGGCAAACCGTCCGTGTCGCCCGTATCAAAAACCGCTACTGGCTATAGCCCTGCCCTGCTGCATCAGTGACAACTTGTTAGGTGGCTCTTCCACCTGTGAGCAGCTCTCAGGAGGGAGAGCAGATCGTTTTTGAGCTTAACTGAGCAGCAACAACTCCACAAACCAGAGATGGCAGAGTTAATTTTAAAGTTTTTTTCTTTGCTTTTTTTGTCATCGTGTATCTTGATTATTTTGAATTTATTAGACAATAGGATAAAAAGCATCAGGTGGGTTGTGTTTTTCTATGTTGACTCATGAAAAACCTATGATTGATTTAATCTGTTTACTGGTAAATTATTTTTTTATTTCTGTAAAGTTTTTCAAAGAAACACACACTTGTCTCACTAATTATCTTATGTTGCTTCTGTTTCCCTTTTGATTCAGCTGGTCAACCTTCATAGAAATAGATGACAGTGAATCGGAAGACTTTGTGCTTGAGAGGTACAGGGCATACTGGGAAAGAAAATTAAAATCAGGACCACCACATCCTGACTTTGAAGCAGAAATAGCAGAAATAGCAGATTCAGCAAAAAACAACACAATACAACGCATTGTAGCTGAGACCCCCATGGCTCTCCTCTACAAAAAAGACTTCAAGAAGCTTCCTCGGTGGGATTTTGAAGATGTTTACAGCAAAGATACTCAACATAGACGACCAGTAAGCATGTTAAGACAAGATATAGTAAAAACAGTCGAACGTATTAACTTTATGGATGTGAGCCAGCATAGCTGGAGTCATACCAGCCATCTGCATGATGCCTGACATTTCAGTTTCTGTCTTTTTGGCTTCTTGACGTATTGCTTTTGCTGTTTCCTGATTTGTTTCAAGTCATTCATTTTTAACTTGTTTCATCATTTCATATTTTTTTATGATTTTCAGACATGTGCTCAGTCTCTACGAAACACTCAGGATGAGAAATTCAAGAAGGCTTTTCTTCCTAACATACGTTTGTTTCTGCACAAAGACAACATTAACATGAGCGAGTGGAATCGCCTTTCACATTTCAACAGTCCTTTTGGGTTTATGAACTACAAATATGATGGTAGGTCTTTATGAAGCTGATATTGGGTCAGTATTGTGTGCCAGACTGAAGAATGACAGAGTAATATACATCTATTCTCTGACTGGATTTTTAAACACATATGTAGTTTTATGAGATATGTTTAAACAGCCAATGAAATAACAGCACGTCAATGCATTTAGGAATGGATGAATAGAAAAGATGGCGTGCTGATATAAACCTAACTCTGGACTACTTAATAAAAAAAACATGAAGCAATTATTTTAAGTGAGATACAGTTAAAATATATTAATTCAAATATTTATTTATTCAAATAATTAATCATTAAGGAAAATGTGATTGGTATAAACTGAACATATACCAATCAAACAAAAGCTTACATTTAAAATCTACTTAACTAATCTAATTAACTAATGTAAACAGATTAGTTAAAGTATGCATTTTAGGCACTTTTTGTTATTTTGAGTGAATGAAGACTTATGAGAGACAATCGAGCGACTGTTTTGGTAGTCGCTCTATTGTAATTTAACAGAGAACTATTTTGTCTGGAAATTTTCAAGTGCCGAATTTAATGTGGTTCGATATGAAAGAGTTTACACATCATGAGAGTGTTGGGATGAATCATGCTATTTTTCAGAGGATGTATTATATTTTCTGATGGTGGCTATAAAGATTTAGTTGTTAATATCCATCGATTCAAACTATATGCTACCTGCATCATATTGTCTTGTTTGAGACATCGTTATAAAGACATACATCTTTTAAATATGAAACATTAGTTTAAAGCAAACTAACAAACCTCTTCTCTACTCATACAGCAACCATAAAACAATCACAGAATGTGTATTCATGTTTTTCTTTTGGTTTGCAGATGTGATGGATTCAGTGAAGCTGATTCCAAAGCCAAATAAGCCACTGCTTCTCCCAAAACCAGGTGGTGATGGCTGTGTGCGCTGTGCTGTGGTAGGTACTGGAGGAATCCTGAACGGCTCAAAGAAGGGAGTGGAGATCGATGGCCATGATTACGTTTTTCGGTAAGACAAAAAAAACCCAAGCAAACCTGTTTGTTTTGTTTGACAGGCACTAGGCCAGGGGTCAAATTCAAATTCAAATTCAAATTTTATTTGTCACGTCAGTCATACACAGTACGATATGCAGTGAAATGCTTAGACAACTGCTCGTGACCTAAAGAAAAACAAAGGAAAAGGCTATGAATAAGATCGGAAATAAATATGAAAAATTAAAAAGGGTAAATTTAACTAGGAAGGAACAAAATATAAATTAAGGTTAAAAATGAAATAACTGTACAACACAAATTAGAATGAAGGGTAAATTTAACTGGGAAAGAATAAGATAAACTAGAAAGCGAAAATTTAGTGTGCCTATGCCGCTGCCAATGAGTGCAGTTTGCCATTCATACAGCTCAAAAAAAAAAAAAAATCCAAATAAGGGTAGACAGGCCGTACTACTGCTGGCATACCACTAGAGTGAGCCAACACACCACTAATTAAGTGAATGAGCCAACACACCACAAGTTTCACTTCCCTTCCCATTCATTTCAATAGGCAAAAACTAGCATTAAAATATTAATATTTAAAAAACTATAGAAGTAATAACCACCAAAAGTCATAGCAACTCATTCCAGCTCCAGCCGCACACAATCATATGTGAACCTTGTCTCAAAACTGTGGGGCGAGTTACGGTCCAAAATTTCAGGTGGAATAATAATAATAATAATAATAATAATAATAATAATAAATCCGAGCAATAGTAATAAGTGTGCCTTTTGGCATAGGCACACTTAAATATATAAATTAAAGTTGAAAATAAAATAACTGTACAACAAAATACACAATACACAGTATAGAACTATATAAGAATGTATGAAGAAATATAAATAAATAAATATATACACAATAACAGCAGCTGTACAAGTATTAACTGGAAATGAAGAATATAGTGACCAGTGTTGTGCAATCCACATTATGTCTTGTGCAGTGCAAATATGCTTAAAGTGATTTAAGTGATGAAGTGAAAACAATGTCCAGATTGTCCAGTGTGTGTAAGAACTATATGTGTGGGTCAGTACTGTGTAGTGGTGTGATTGAGAGACCGTATCGCCTGCGGGAAGAAGCTCCTCCTCAGTCTCTCTGTGTTGGTCTTCAGGGAGCGGAATCGCTTTCCTGACCTCAACAGAGAGAACAGTCTGTTGTTGGGATGACTGAGGTCCTTCACGATCTTCCTGGCCTTGGTCCAGCACCGCCTGCTGTAGATTGAGTGCAGGTCAGGGAGCTCGGAGCGGATGGTGCGCTCAGCTGATCGCACAACCCTCTGTCGAGGGTCAGCAACCTTTAACACCCAAAGAGCCATTTGGACCCGGTTTCCACGCAAAAAAAAACACTGGGAGCCGCAAATACTTTTTGAAATCTAAAATGAAGATAACACTGTATATATTGTTTTGTTTTGTTTTTTACCTTTATGCTTTGTGTGAACAACTAAAGTAAGTAAAGTTTATTTATTAAGCGCTTTTCACAGACAGGCAGTCACAAAGCGCTGGACACAAATATTAAAATAAACAATACAATCAATAGACATTATACACAATGTAAAAGATCAAATGCAAATAATGTAAAGAATATAAAATACGTAGATCAACAAAAAGCTTGTTTGAACAGAAAAGTTTTTAACTGCTTATTAAAAGATTCCACAGAGCAACTAAGGTGTGTTTCTTATGAAATCCATGAAATGCTACAGAGAAAATTACATTTTATTTATGTAATTAACACATTTTGAACTCTTAAAGAAATATAACAAAAGGAAAGACACCCAGCTGAATTAAAATGATCCACACATTTAGACTTTTCATCACCACTTTACGGTAACATACTGGCGTCACTGTTGCCAGCGTCATACCGTGACGCCGTGTTACGGTAGCTTACTGTTCTGCAGGATGATACCGTTTTTTGCTGGAGTAGTATAATACTCTTGGACAAATTATGGTAACGCACCGTAGCCTTTTTTACGGTATCTCATACCGTTATGTCGTAAATTACGTCAACAAAGTAACATCATACTGTGATACTACCGTTTATTCACGGTATGTCACTGTAAGCCCGCTGCAAGGTAATAAACTGCAACATATTAACCAGTAACTCACCGTTATCACGCATCATCAGTACCAAAAATATTCATCTCTGCTAGAGGATACCGTGTCCCAACAGGCGGTCATTTACTGTTTAACAGGTAATTTACCGTAATTTCAGTTAACAGTAACATACTGTAAGAGACTGGAGGGTTCCAAAAAAATTGGATGGATGGATAGATAGATACACACACACACAAAATATAATTCATGTGCTTTACACCACTTTATTTCAATTCTGATTTTTCCCTGCTGAAATACACATTTCCAAAATCAAAAACTGAAAAGAACTGAAAACATATTTTCATTGAGGAAGCACTTGTTTTTACTAAACCATGTAATCCATTATTTTCTCAGATGGTTGTACAAACATTAACGATATTATGTCATATCCATATCATGGCAGACAACATATGCTCAAGTGTTGGGTTTTCTTAGTTATATTTTTTAGGGTCTTAAACCTACAATGTGAAGTGCCTTGGCATTCATTTTGGTGGCACCATACAAATAAACTGAATTGTAATGAATATAATATCAAGCCCCACACTTCTGCCTTTATATACACTTTGTCCAAAATACTGGCTCACACCACCAAATCATTGCACAAAACAGGGTCCACAATGACATGGATGATCGTGTGTGGTGTGAAGGAACTTGACTGACCTGCACTGAACCCTGATCTTGCTTTGTGGACTGAGTTCATTGATTTGTAGGGTGAGCCAATACATGTGACAATTAAAGTGTAAGTAGCTGAAATAATTTTTAACAAACGGGTAAAAGAAGGAAAAAAAATCAAAACTGTTGCACTCAAAAAACCTATTGGACAGAGACAACGTCTTGCAAGATGGCAAGAGAGCTTGTCTTCATTGTTGCTGGTCTTGTGTAAATGTCCAGAAAGCATGGGCCATGGATCATCTGTGGAGACATGGGTAACAACACATTGGTCACTTAAATTATACAAGAAATTCACTAAAAATGGCAAAAACAGTTACCTAATTTGAAGTTCTCCACTCAAATTCGGTAAGCCGCTGGAGGAAAGTTGTGACATGAGGGTTAATGTGAACAACCTTTCGCTTTACAGTGGTCCCAGTCCTTCTGCTTGTCCCACACTTGGAGGTACATTTTGTTCCCTCTTCAGGGTTTATCCTTACAAAAAACCTTGCACACGCTGACTCCTGGTATTCCAGGTTCAATACATAGAATGAACCAAAGAAGATTACACGCCCCTCTGGACTCACCATCCAGCAGGTGGCGGTCATTGAACTTTGTCCTTAAATGTATAGGGGCAACATGTTGTCATTATGCAACATAAAATAATTTCAATACTTCACTTCTTCACATTGTCTAGATAGTCATAAAGCAAATAGCTATGTACAGTTAATTATTAATGGCCTTATGTACATAAGTCCATTTTAACATATTATAATTGTACATAATTGGGAATTATTCTGCACCTTAAACACACCTAACAAACAGTCAGCCCAGTTAAATTACCGGAGATGAATCAACTGTATGGTTATTTTGGAGTTTATAGTTTGTGCTGCTGTTAAACTTTACAGTATTGACTTCAGTATTTCTGCTGTTGGTGTAGCTAGACTACTATGTTGATCAGTAATATGTAATGTGAAATTTGATATTGTTACTTTGCTGGATTCACTGAGACACATGTCCAACAACCTTGGTTTATAAAGGAAATTACATACATTTGAGCTAACAAAACAGAGACTGGATACCTGTGTCCACGAAAAGCTCCTGTGCCAAACAGAAATTTTAATATGGTCTAATCAGCTCTATTTCATAAATGACTTCTTACCAAGAATAATCAGCCTTGGGGTGCTTGGCAGGCTTTTAACGTGCAAACTGAACAATATAAATTTGCGTGCACTGAAGCCACAAAATTTAGAAATACACATAGTTGCAAAAAGTTCAGTGACCAATTACCTTTCCTAAATGACAAATGCAATGCAAAAAATAAGAGTATTGTCAATAGGGACCGATTCCCAGTTTTTACATGATCAAAATTATTCACAAAAGGCTTCAGTAAACAGAAAAATGTGTGCCGACAAGAGAACAGTGCACAAAAATAAAAAGATATTTGAGCTCGACGCTTTAATGGGTTTAACATGACTTAGTCAGCACTCCGCACCGTACAGGTAGTACAAGCACACCTTAAAACACTGACCAGCTAACAGCTTTAAGCATTTGGGCGCAACCTCGGTAGTTCACCGATACACCTGTTGCAAACGTCCAAGTTTCTATCAAGTCTCATAAATCCATCGGCAACTATTACCTAACTAGTCTTTTGAGTCTCCACATTCATAGATATTGACATTTTGTCTTAGCATTTGAATGAAAATATCCTGGTAGGGTAGCTTAAAAGTCAAAACAAACAGTAATAAGAACGCATTTCGGACTTCTCTCGAATAAGTGAAAAAAACACTTACCTTCACACTGATTAGCTGGTTCCGATCCAACTTTAATGTGTCCCATGTCAGTCCGTTTTAGGGAAAAAGTGTTAAGTGGTTTCATTTAATTTTGAGATGCCCGCATGGACGAGCAATTTGGAGTCTAGCAGAGTTATCACGAATAGCATATGATCTTCAGATATAATCCAATCAACCTTGCATTTAACCCGATTGAACATCCAGTTACCTCTGACTACTTCTAAGTTGCACATGTTAACGGTCTCATCATCACTCTGTGCTGCAGCGAACTGGATCTGTGGCACAGAATAGTTGATGGTGATGTTGTTCTCCTGCTTTGCAGCTTTGTTTGAGTCTGAATTGCGTCTTATGCTGGGCAGACACTGTGCGAAGAGAAGCAGATCAATATTTTCTTGTTGTTGTTATTTTTTTATTTTTTATTTTTTGCCTGGTAGTGACCGAAAGAACGAGATCGCGGATACAAGCGGCAGAAATGAGCTTCCTCCGAAGGGTGGCTGGCCTCTCCCTTAGAGATAGGGTGAGAAGTTCGGCCATCCGGGAGGGGCTCAGAGTAGAGCAGCTGCTGCTCCACATCGAAAGGAGCCAGCTGAGGTGGTTCGGGCATCTGACAAGGATGCCCCCTGGGCGCCTCCTGGGTGAGGTGTTCCAGGCATGTCCCACCGGGAGGAGGCCCCGGGGCAGACCCAGGACACGCTGGAGAGATTATATCTCTCGGCTGGCCTGGGAACGCCTTGGTATTCCCCCGGATAAGCTGGAGGAGGTGGCTGGGGAGAGGGAGGTCTGGGCCTCTTTGCTTAGTACAACTGCTGTCATTCACGAAGAATGGAGGCTTCCATATTCATTCACTTCTGTACTGGCTTTACTCTTTCGATAGTCTATGACTATATAAATCTCGTATCAAAGAAACTGTTGTATTGATTTTAAAAAAATCTAAATAAAATGTTTATAAAATTCCACAAAAACAACATTTTTGTTTATTTTCTAACTACAAAAAGTTGGAACAGGTAAAAAAAAAGGAAAATGAAGTTGGGCTACCCCCCCCCCCCCCCCCCAAACAGCTAGCTAACAAGTCAGTGAGATAATTGGGTATAAAAAGAGCATCTTGAAGAAGATGGACAGCAGTTCAACAACATACAAAACACTAAGTCTACAAATTATTGGAAAAATGTTTCTCAACGAAAAAACATAAAAGGTTCCTAGACTTACATCGTTTCTATAGAAAAATAATTATTTAGTCATTATTTGAATTCAATTTGATTGAGATGTGAAATGATGAATAGGATAGAGATGACACAGAACACCACAGTACCAAATAGTTATGGAGGTTTATTAGAATACAGACGGATGATGCACAGTTGTAAATATGGACAACTCTTTTTCAGATGTGTTGATGTCATCAAAGTGTAATATTCTTCTTAAAATGGTACATTTTTTCTGTGTTCCATTGTGTATAATATGTGGGTTTATCCGATTTGCAAATAACTGCAGTCTGATTTGATTTACACTTTACACAATGTTCCAGCATGTTTCGAATTAGAGTTGCTTTATGATGATACTTCACATGAAATTGCTCACTGTCCCACAAGCAGTTTATATATGGCAGATATTTGTAGTCAACACCTAGACATTGGTATTGCACTTTTAGCTAGCAACAACTGATAAAATGTATTCTTGTCTTGTCTGGCAGGATGAATGGTGCCATCACTAAGGGTTATGAGGAAGATGTAGGAAACAAAACATCGGTTTACGTTCACACAGCCCACTCCATCACGACATCACTTTACTTGCTCAAGAAGTACGGGTACAAATCTGCCCCTCATGACGAGGTACTTAAACTTCAAAGACAACAGTGTTGTATCGTACTTATTTTCCCTGCACAGAATAAACATAAGGGCTCCCCTTTTCCTTTTGACAGGGTATAAAATATGTGTTGATTCCAGAGGGGATGAGGGATTTCCAGTGGCTAAAGGCTCTTCTGAGAGGAGAAAAGGTCTCTGCTGGCCCATACCGCAATAAACTGTGAGTATAAAATGCAAAAAAAAGAAAGAAAATTAATCAAGAAATGTTTTCACCACTTTCAAAAAGTTGCAATTATCCCATTAAGGAATTAAGACTCCAACTGTATTTGTTTACGTCTTGTTTTGTTTTTTGAATCATGATGTAAATGTTTTGTACTCCCAAACACATATGTTTGTTTATTTTTCAGTAAATAAATAAACACTATAACCTTCTATTTTTCTATTTCTATTTTATGGGACACATAATGATGCCACTGAGGAGAAAGTTATTAAGATTATTTGTACTATCATACATTATCCTTTACAGTATTTATACAACAATTGGACAAAATAAAATATTAATCAATACAAATATATATATTTAATCTATTAATTTATTCAAAGTCTGTTATCTTAGGTCAACACTGTAACATAATATAATATAGAAAAAAAAAAGAAAGAAAAAAAACATGAATTTAACCAAATTAAATTCAACCAGTTGCCATTTGTTTCACAAATGCAAATTTTGAGTGTACATGGAAGCTTTACCTGCATACATATAAAATGTTTGTGACATGTAATTTAAATGTATCTTTCTAATATAATGTCTTTTACAAATCAAAATATCTTCTGTGGCATATATGTGACTAACAAGTGTGCCATATTTCGTCTTCTAACCTCACCAGACCAAGGACCTACTATTCAGGGCAATACAATGAAAGTCGTTTCTACGTTCTGCACCAGGACTTCCTCCGATATGTGCGGAACAGGTCAGCCTGCAATTAACACCCTGTACATAGTATTTTTGTTAAAAAGGCTATGAATAGTTAGAAGAAAGCTTTCATGGCTACTGGATGGACTCACGCGCAGACAGTTCTTTCTTTGAGAACAAAAGGAGATTATTTATTTACAACAGGGATCACCTCAGTGCTATATATATGTGCAGTGAGTTGGGAGGGGGTCCAGGGAGAGAAGGGGGGGGGGGGGGTATCCACACACATGCTTCCTCTTCCACACAGTCACCGCCACAGCTCCTCCGCACACACGCACTCCTCTTCAGCCACACTCGCTCTGAAACTCCACACACGCTGCCACACCCGTTTGTTGTTTACAGCTCTACCCCAGGAATGCAACCTTGTTAGCTAATTCAACCATACAGTTGGGATTCCTATTAGAAATGAACAATAAGGATGAGAAACAAGCAAAACATCACTGGAATAACTGTTATAAGATTGTAACTCAGACATGAATGTCAGCATGAACAGTCCTTGAACAATGTAATTATACAGTACTTTCCCCATTTACTTTGAAAATGGGAAATATTTGCAGCAATTTATTGAAACATGTGCAAACATACATAGACATACAATATATTAGACAAAATATATTGGTACAATTCTAACCAATCAATGTTTGGTGTGACCACCTTTATTTTTCAACACAGTCTGAACTCTCTCAGACAAACTTTCCTGTAATTCCTTTAAGTGGTCTTCAGGAGTAGGACTCCAGTCTTCTTGAAGAACATCAAGTAATTTACACTGAGTAATTTTCTATGCATGTGTTCTTTTACAGTGTGTTTGGGATTTGGAGGTTGCCTATTCTGCTGTCATAGAAGTGTAGCTCATTTTCCCCATGTGTATGCTTAATTGATGCTTCTTCTTCACTCACAGGTTCTTACTGTCACCTAATCTGAATAAAACATACTGGTCTTTGGTCAGACCAACCAACGGGGCATTCACTGTCTTCTTGGCTCTGCACACCTGTGACATAGTGAGTTAAAACTACTTGAACTTTGTGTGCTTATTGCTGGTATTCACAGCTTTAGAAGCATTGACCTGGCAATTAACTCTAGAATGAGCAAGTCAACTTTCAGGAGCTTTCTCACACAGCCCAGATGAATCAGAAATAAGATGAAGAGTCAAAGACACCTTTCATGAAAAAGCACATTTTTGCTCTGCAAGTTAAACAAAAGGTCCGCCCCATTGGGATTAATACAGTGCCACCCACCACATACTTCCCTTCATGAAACATAAGCGTTTTCACTGTTCTTGGTGTTTTAAATCCAAGAATAACTGGGATGAATCTGATGGATCCCAACCATCATAGCCTTTGCCTCTCTAACTTTGTCCTCAACCTGCCTTCCTCTTATTTTAATAAAAAGACACATACACACGTATAATCATAATATATTTCTCCTACTATTTCTCCTGCCTTTCTGTTTTCCTCAGGTCGATGCATATGGATTCATGACTGACGACTACGTCAAATATCCTAACTACTATGTTGAGAAAAACATGAGCAAAGTCATTTTCTACGCCAACCATGACTACATTTTGGAGAAGAATACATGGAAAGACCTTCATAACAGGAAAATAATCAGGCTGTTTCGAAGAACTGAGTCAAAAGCAAAGAACTAAAAGCAACGCTGACATGATCAAGATTTCTGATTACCAGATTTAAAAACAACTATGTGTACTTTCCAAAGACTGAGACAATATGTGATGCTCAGTTTTACTCATTATGGTAGCTGGTTTTATTTTTCTGCAACTCCTTTTGTGGTTTTATCAAAAGCAAAAGACGATCGAGCAGTAATATCTCATTAATGATGCAAACTAAACCATCCAAAGCAAAGACGCTATGATTATTATCACTCATGTTATTTTATTAAAGTGCATCTCTGTGGGTAAATTTCCATAGATTAAAATCAAGCATCGACAACAGCTGGGATTGAGTCAAGAGCATTAATGCAGATGAACTCTTTGCCTCTTTATTTTTACTATTGGTTTAATTTGGTCACATTGAAGGGGTTTTCAGCATAAATGGCAGTTTTATAAATTTTCTTGCATTTGAATACTTGATATTGTTTGGTTACTATTGGTTGCAGATTTTCAGTTTTCATTTATGCTTTTTCAGCTTATATATCAAATATTGACAAAAGAGTAATATGTAATCCAGGTATATCTGTATAATTATTTACGTCTGATGTGTTATTTAGCTTTAAGATAAACGCTGTTAATACCTGTTTGTGACAGCTGTAGTTACAGCTTTTACTTGTGGCACAATATCTTCATGTTGAAACCAAATAGCCAATTATATAGTCCACCCCTGGAAAAAGGCATAATAACAAGATTATATTATTATCCTTTTTTTTATTTGTTTGTTTGTTGGATTTTAGTGGTTGACTTTGCTTTTATAGTAAATTTAAATTTCTAGAGGTTTAATGGAGAAATAAGCTGTGATTTTATTGTGGTGGTTTGTTTTGATGTTACAGTTTTTCTCTGTTATTTTATTTTCTTAATTAGTTCAAAAGTTGTATCTTTCAGAAAAATTATTTTTTGTGAAACACAAAATGTTCAGTCAAACACAACAAGTTTTGTATAGAGTTGTTTGATGTATCAATGACATCCAAAGACAGCTCAAATGATCTGTAACATCTGTGTACATTGTGCATGTAATTTTATGTAGGAAATAAAGCTGACTTTTGTGGGATGTGTTAATTTTGTATTTTATAATTTACTAGCATAATGTAAACATACTTCTATTTCTAGTTTGCTTAAAAGTTTTAACCTAAAATCACTGTGCCCTGTAGCATCCCTTATTTATACTTTATCTTTTGCTTTATGATTCTTTTCTTGCTGCTGCTCATTTCTGTTATCATCTCATCCTATTCACAGTTCTTCATCCTGCAATTCCCCTTATCCAGTGGTACATTTCCTCCTTTCCAAAATGTCCTAATAAGATGATGTCTCATCATTAGATATGTCTCTGTGCAGAGTCTGTGCCTTAAAATATAAAGCTCCTTGGGATCACTGGCATTGTGAACAGGTGCTAAATAAATTTAATGAATTGAATGTTAACATATTAGTCCATTAATTTAATGCATCTATGCTGTTCTTTTTTTCCCTTATGCAAGAACAGAACAGCATATCTCATTTTAAAATCAGCAGCACCTCAAAGGAAATCTAGGCAAAGGATATTATTATTTGAGCACGAGAAAGGGGAAATAAATTTGTCATATTTGTAAGCGATCTGTCACTCAAAGACTAAATGCATGTAATGTGAAAAGAAAATAATCCAGTCCATTTTTTTTTTTTAGATCAGAAGCATAGTGTTATTTTTGTGGCGGTGTTAAACTGCATTGTGCATTCACGGAGCTATAACTGATAGTTGATCTTTGGAATGTGGTTTTACTTCCCCATTAACAGGGTTGGCAAATAAATGGTAAAATGGCCTGTATTTGTATAGCGCTTTTACTAGTCCCTAAGGACCCCAAAGTGCTTTACACATCCAGTCATCCACCCATTCACGCACACATTCACACACTGCTACATTGTAGCCACAGCCACTCTGGGGCGCACTGACAGAGGCGAGGCTGCCGGACACTGGCGCCACCGGGCCCTCTGACCACCACCAGTAGGCAACGGGTGAAGTGTCTTGCCCAAGGACACCTGTGTCAAGGTTACTGTGTGCCAAGCCGGAAGTATTTAAATAAATTTGCTATTGTCGTAAGTGGAAAGTTCCACAGCTCTAATGGAAAATACCACATTTCCATTTGTAGTGATGTGGGATGTGGGAACAGAACATATGCTCACATTGGTTACTACTATAGTTTTAGGACCCTTACATAGCATAGTCTCTGTTATAGTGTGTACACTGTCATTATTATAGTCTGTTCAGAGCGCTATGCTTCCACTACTGTAGATATATTTATAGCACTGTGTAGATCTGTTTACCACACACTAGTACATCTGTATATATGTAGCACATCTGTATGTTATACAGATCATCTCTGTATATGTATATCTATACATATGTATACAAAAGTACATCTGTACATTTGTCTGTAGTTCAGTCCAAAGATGATTAATTCATTGACACCCTAGCCAGGACGAGGACCCCAATTCTCACCTCCAAAGTACACAGTCCTTTTAGAAAGGTCATTTCAAGAATGATTTTCTGTGTTGAGTTGGGCATGACCAGTTCAAAAGCTCTCGTAATATCTATAATACGAGTCACTGATGTCTTGATGCATTCTCAATCATCCAGGAAAGTAAATCTCCACAAAGTTGATTCTGTTCATCTGGATGTAGCGTTTTGTGGGAGAAACGTTTCGTCACTCATCCACGTGACTTCTTCAGTCTCAGCTGACTGCAGGTTTCCCCAATCTTATAAACAGTACATTTGCATAATGACTGAAACCAGCCCACTGAAGGAACAAAGGGCTGGGAGGTCAGTTCCTTAATCTTAATTATGCAAATTCTCATGGCCATTGATCAACAACCAATGACCAAAACCCACTGATCAAAGCAATCAATGGTGGAAGATGTACCCTGTAGGTGTAAATAGACTGCAGAGTCCTGGCCTGACGAGGCTTACACCTACAGGCCAGTGGACACTCTCTCAAGGATGAGGATGTACACATCTTGGACAGGGAGGAACGCTGGTTTGAGCGGGGAGTCAAGGAGACCATTTACCTGAAAAGGGAAAGACCTGCTCTGAATCGAGGAGGGGGCCTAAGGGTACATCTTTCGCCATCTTACAATGCTGTGATTGCAGCCATTCCCCAACTCTCTGTGAATGGTGCTCACGGCCATTGAACAGTGGGCTTTGATCAGTGGGTTTTGGTCATGCTCCGGCTCGCTGAGCTCCTCTGGCTCAGGCTGAGCAGATCCGGGTGGATTCCTTGCATCCTTAACATAGAATGTTCCAATGCAGTCTATGCCACAACCAGTCTGGCAAATCCGCCTTCTTTGGATCTTGTGTGTTCCTTCTATACTTCCTGCATGTGATGCACTTACAGATGTGTGAGGCAACTGCACTGCTGCATCCAATGACTCATATCCCATTAGATCGCAATTCATTTACAGTCATACCTCTTCCCTGATGCTGTACTTTCTTATGATAATGCTGGATCAGTAAAGAAGACATGTGGCTTGCTTTTGGAAGAATGGCAGGATGTTTCATGTGTGGATGAAGATCAGATCTTGTCAAGTGGCCGCCTGCTCTCAGCACACCCTGCTTATCCAAAAATTGACTTAATTTGCATAGCGTGTTTGCTTTGTCTTTGGATATTATGTTGTTGCATTGCCGTAGATTCTTGATTTCACTGCTGAATGCTTCTCTTTGGACCAATCTGATTCTGAAAAGTTTAGTTTGTTGTCTTTCCTCAACACTTGTACTTCCGTTGGGATTAAGACCTTTGACTTGCTTAGCACAACATTTAAGACAAGCAACAGCTCATTTAACAGCTCTTTTCCAGCCAGAAAACTTAGTCAGGCGGTCCAACAATGTTCTATTTACCTTTGTGCTGGTGTTGAGCACCTGAGCCTTTTAAAGTTCTGGATCATTGTCACTAACCTCTCTCACCTTAGCCTCCCTTATGGGTAACTCCGTTTCCCGCAGAGTCTGGCCCTGATTTGAAGCAACGCGCTGATCTGCCGATAACCCTCTCAATGCATGGTCCACCGGATTGTCTTCGGCTATCAGCAGCTCTCCTCTAAATTCGTACACTTAGAAGAATACGCCCGACCCATTGTTCAAATTTGGGGAAATGAAGGATGCATTTGTCGGCCGCATTTGGTGCAGGCTTCAGATTGGGACAGCCTTTGCTGCCTGGCTGTGATGTAATCGGCCTTCAAATGCAGCCTCCAAAGGATGCAGCCCCTGAATTGGGACCTAGCATATATGACTGGTTGGTTACAGGAGGACAAACCTGTCATATCAGACAGTATCAGTCGGAATCTGGAATAACTCTAAACCAATAAAATATAGGAAACAGATCAACTTAAAATTGGAATTAATTAAATGGTTCATTAATAATTAAATGCCCATTCATTTCATTTAAAGCTTTTAATACATTATTTATTTATTTCCAATTTTATTTATATTATATATTATACATATAATTAATTATACAATTATATATTCAATTAATACAAATTTGACATTTAATTGAATTTACATTTAATCAATTATTTAATGATGCATTTATTTAATTCATTTTGGTACACCTGGCCTTGCGGCTGTGTTCATGAATTAATTTTATCTGTCAGTCTCACCCATCAAATTCAGGGGTGGGGTTAACACTGATCGAGTCAAAAGCATTGCTTTTGCCTGGTGGCCATTGTTTTAGTGGGCCTTTCTCAGCATCAACAACAGACATGTGGAAACTTACTAAACTATACTTAGAAATATCCTGTTTTTGTGTCACCAAATACACTTTTAATATTGTTATTGGCTGCAGACAGAGTCAGGTTGAGAGTGGATGCAAGGCGAGCTATAGGCTAGAGAGGAGGTAAGAATGCAAGATGAATCCCTGAGTAGTGGGTAGTAGTTTTTTAACATGATTACTCTCTTCCTTGTTGGCTGCTGCGCTTTATTTTATTTTTTTAAATAACACAATGTGTACATATATCCTCTGGTATGTCATGTCCTTTCGCATATTGTATAAATAATCATAGTGGGCCGCCATGACCAATAAATGCCAAGGTCTGGTTAAATCTGACATCAGCGTGGAAATAAAACATGGCTGGTAACAACTATAGAGTAGGGAGAAGTTTTCTTTCAAAGCACAAGATCCCTGTCAGTCCCTGCATCCTTAAATGTCTCCAGTTGTCCCGAGTTCCCTCTGACTGTCTCCTTGGTGCATTTAAACCCGTGTTCCTCCCTGTCCTCATCGTCTGTTGTCTTCATCTCCATTATCAGTCATCATAATTTTACCATCTCTGTGCAAGTCTGCAAATTTCTTTATTAAATAATAAGATTCTTAAATTCATCAAGTCTCTCTGTGCCTGGGTCCTCGCCACAAAACATGACATCACTGTTTTGTACATTTTAACAAAATTTAATCCCCAAATTTGTGAAAGAAAAGCAAAACACTTTTTTGAAAAGTCTGTAACAAAACCATCAAATCTGATAAAGGTTATTTAAATGCTGCTAAAGACTACTACTGCCAAAGAAGAATGGATTGGAATTTAAAAAAAAAATACATATCCTAACCTGCGGGAGAATAATGAATGATGCTCACAGTGAGTAAAAAGTAAACTCAGTGCATTTTTTGGACAGAGATTCACTTTTAATGTGTATGTATAATATAATATATATACATAAAAATACACTCCAAAAATAGAAGAGTCCTTGAAATGTACAAAATATTATTAAAAAATTGAGACACCTTGGCCTATGGTACAATGTATACAATGTATGAAAAGATCTTTACTGCAGATACTTCTATGGCTCTGCAGATTTTTTATTTTATTTTAACCTCACCTTGAGGTTGGCAAATCTGTCTATCACATTTTGGTGGTCAAGTCTCTCAAGCATCTCTTTCTCAACTGACATCACAGCCAGATGCTGAAGTCTGCTTTGACCCATGGTCCTTCTCAGCCAGGTATGGAGCTGAATCAAGACACTAAAAGACCTTTCACAGCTACAGCTGCTAACTGGGTTTGTTAGGTCAACCTGAATAACACTTTTCACAGTGTGGGGAA